GACCTAGCACGGACGAGTGCACCGTGGTAGCGTTCCTCGTCATGCAGTACAAGGTTCTGCTTAATATTGCGTAGGTCAATTTTGTACTCTCCCGGTTGTTTGCACTCCCAGTCAATTAGTCTTTCCAAAGTCTTTCCGAGTTCTTTTTCTTTCTTTTTCCTTTCGTAACTCAATGCGCAAGAACGATCAATAGCTTTTATTTTTATTCGCTGCTTGTACTCTTCCCTTTGTTTTGCAAGTTTAGCTTCATCATGCATTTTTATTTCATTGATGCAAATCATTACCTAATCTAAGAAATATTCGTCAGTATATTTCGAGCGCTTGCCAGTGAAAATTCCAGCACTTCCAGCGCTTCGCAGTGTGCACCAGGATCACAGCGGTAGAGTCAGTGCCCCTACCAGTGTGACACAGGTTTTTTCAGTGCGCCCTGCGAAGTGCCAGTGAGTGCATACGTGTACCAGTGTATCCAGCATGTACCAGTGCCAAAAAACGTACTGGCTTCACGCTGTTTTTGCTATAGGAAAGCAAGATAGGTTGTCAACTCGGCGTTTTCAATCTTTTTAATGCGTTCCTAACAGTCCGCATAGCACGCTAAGCCAGCCCATTGCTATGTGAATGACGTTGACATGTTCTATTGTGAACAATGCCACAGGGCTTTATGAATTGGTGAAGTTAGAAACCCGTGAAAAGTGTTGTATTATCTGACACCACCGTACGAGGCATCCCAAACTGGGCAAACAATGTTCTAATTGCATCGATGGTACTGCGGGAGTTGGTATGTATTACTGGGACAACCTCGATTCATTTAATATATCAGTCAACCACAATCAACATCATCTTGCCACGCAGTGGTCCCGCATAGTCAATATGAAGCCCCAACCACCTTTCGCCCGTCTCTGGCCAGTTTACAGGAGTTTGTGTGGGTGGCATAGGCAATGCTTTGAATGCAGTTGTTACAGTCGGCGGCTACGCGTTGTATGTCTTGGTCAAACTCAAGCCACCAAATATTTATCTTGCTCTAGCCTTCATTGAAGACACTCCCTGATATGAGTCATGCAGTAGCATGAGAAACTTCTTGCGGGCGGCCACAGGTATCACCGCGCGATGACCCTAGTGGAGCAGGTTGTTTTCCACCGACAGCTCATCCCGCATCTTATAATATTCTGAGAGTTAGTCATCTCCTTTTACCTTCCGTGGATAACCACTGCGGCTTTTATTTCATACTTGAGAAATGACGTCATCTGTCAGTGCTAATGCTTGAAATTTTTTCGTTAGCACAGCAGTGATCTCCTGCTGATATAGGGATATAATGACTGACGTGATGTCCTCCAGTCCGATGCATTATGCGAGGTTATTTGTAAACGGCTTAGTGCTTCGGCGTTGTAGAAAAACTCTCCCAGGTTTATGCTGCAAATGGTACCTATAGGCACCTAGTGTGATAGCACATCTCTGTCCCGAGCTGCTGCCATGGTAGGGGTTGGCTTGTCCACCCTCAAGAGACCTAGCAAAGATTGATGATCGGTCAATAGAGTAAACGTTCTTCCATGCAGATAGTCGCGAAACCGTGTGACGCCATTCACCAAAGCCAGTGCCTCTCACTCAATCTGGTGTCAGTAGAGTCGACAGGATTGGTAAGAACTTGTGAAAAGTTGTAGCATGCCCGAAAATGATCGCAGCTCTGTAACTTTCCGAGGGGCGGGAGCATGTCTGACGGCCTCCGCATTCTTTTCTCTTAGGTGCGACTCTGCGGCGTCGATTTGGTGACCAAAATTAACCTACGAGGCCTCGCTTATCCGGCACTTCTCGGTGCGAAGTTCAATGCTGTGTTCTCTGAATTGTTCCAAAACATGTCAAAGTTCTGCAGTCGCCGCAATTAAAACATCGTCCAAGTACGCTTGCCTACCGGATATTTCTTGAAGAATGGACTAGATCGATCTCTGGAATATTGCTGGTGCTGAAGCTATTCCGAAAGGCAAATGTTTGTAGCAAAACAACTGTTTATGTGTGTTTCTGACAGCCAGCTTTCGTGAGTCCTCGTCCAATGCAATCTGGTCATAAGCGTCTTATAGATCTAAGATACAAAATTCTTTTCCGCCCCGCAAATTCGTGACGGTGTCATCAATGACTGGTGAAGGGTATTACTTCATCACACATTGTGTTTTATGTTACCTTAAAATCTTCACAAATGTGCACAACACCGTTCCTCTTCAATACCGTCACTATTGGTGGTGCCCAATCTGCAAATAGTACCGGTGATATTATGCTAGATTCGACTAGTCTATCTAAGCAGATAGCTTCTCTAGCAGTGCAAAAGGAACTTTTGTAGCTTTGCGAAATTTCGGGACTGCCATGTCCTTGATGTAGAGCTTAGCTGGTGGGTCCTTGATTAATGCAAGACCTTTTGTGAATTCGTCTGCATATTCTGTCATTAATATACCAGTTTCTGCTTGCCTTTGTAGGCTTGCCACGCTCTGGGGCGTAGTGACGTGCGGAACAGGCGTTCTTTCTGCTGCAAGCTTATCCAATAAGTATTGTCAACACAGGCTAGGACCTTCAGAATCTAACACCGTAAGGTTACAGTCGACCTCCGCCGACATATAATTTGCCTTTGTTGCCAATGTGCCTAACCCAGGCAGTTTGCCCAGGTAACAAGAGAACTTAAATGGATAATCTGCAGCTAGGCCCGATGGTTGCGATGTGCTTCATATGTTTCTGTGAAAGGGGGGAAAAGGGTCAGAGAAGGAACAAAAAGACAAAGAAAACTCATGCACGTTCAGTTCTGCTACCACTTCAGCAACGCTGGCGTTGCAACAAAGGTAAAGTATGACGAGCGGGAAAGAAGATGGGAAAATATAATGATTCTTAACTCCTGAGGAGACAAGGTAGGTACGAAGCCTACGTGCGAAGAGCTCGTCCAAGTTATCGCCCCAAAGCCCGAAAAAAAAATGGCAGCATATCCACATAGTGAATGATGTATAGTGAGGCGAAGCATCCGTCAGTTCATTCGTTGTTGCTTCCGTCCATCCATGCGTGCGTCCGTGTGGCCGCCCGTGCGTGCGTCTGTTCGTGCGTCCGCTAGTTCATCTGTGCTTTCGTTCCACCTTTCGTCCATGCATCCGCTCCTGCATTCGTCCATGCGTTCATCCGTCTGTGCGGCCATCCGTGCGTCCGTCCATGCATCTGTCTGTGTGTCCGTTTGTCCACCTATTCAACACTCGGAGTACCACCATGTCGCATCTTTTCATCATATGTTCCTCATATAGAAGCAGCGCCCTCCAGCGGACATTCCAAGGACTGAACGAGAGGAGCCTCACACACACTTTCTTATGGCTTGCGCTTCGTGCCTACTTCTCACCTTTAACCACCTCGAATTCATGGTATATACTAGTGCACTGTATTCAAGGCACTGCGGCCAAACACTCGCTAAGCCTTTCTAAAACCTAGGAGGGTACGCCCAGCGAGTATAACGTAGCAACCCTTTCTTGTCTTCTGTGTGTTGTTGGACGGTAAAGGGTTCGCAGCGTGCGCGTTAACTGAAAGCCGAATTGTCCTGTCTCTCATTCCCCCTTACCAGCCATTAGCATGCACATTGAGCAATATCTTTTATTGTTCAACAACGCACAGAAGAAATCTTTTACCGGCACCAACTTGGAGGTTAGAATGTAAGACTGGTTACTCACTACGACTACGACTACGACAACGAGGGACGAACGGGTGCCGCTTTAAGGAGCTTCGCCCCTAAAAACGAAGCATGGTGTCATTTTTCTGACAATGCACTTTATTTTGAAATCACATATAACAATAAATATTTTTGTGGTGTGGTGGTCGTTCTAATATTTGTTGTGAATATCCACATACACTGCGTATTGGGGTACAAAGGAAGTAACTAGTAGCCAACGCTAGGAATACACGAGCAACGTACCCTTCTCTTACCTCGTTTTGTCCTTACCGCGGGCGATGATGTATTATTGTCCGAAAATTGAAATAAATACATATATATATATATATATATATATATATATATATATATATATATATATATATATATATATATATATATATATAACATTGAGTCTAGTACGACAAGTAAGTAGCTTGGAAAGCTGTTTGTAGTCAACTGACAAATAATTGCTACCTCTTAACCAACAAAATATGAGGAGTTAAGAGCAGTGCTGTTTTTCGAAGAAGGAATCATAAGCTTAGAAATCAATGATAAACGCACAACTTCACAGGCAATGTTAGACAAATCTATATTTGTTTCCATCAGCACCCTTCCCAATCGGAGACAAAGCTGTAACCTTCTCAACTAGAAATGTTATTTCTAGTGGGTTCTTCTGTCTGAGACACATTTCATTTTATAGGAAATACCTGATTGCTAGCATTTGGAGACATCTGCACGTATCGTCATCACTTGTCAGTAACGGTGGCGTCAAGTCGAAACTTAATGGGAAGTAGGAGAAAAAAGTCACAACGGACGAAAAAAGCAAGTTCTCAACAGTGAGTCCACGTTTTACACAGCATAGACCTGATGAAACATTAAATAAACATTCTGGTAAAGAAGCAGGGCCACTTTACAAATTTTGAGGCTTCCTAAAGAGTACAATATTTCAGAATAGGGCTCCTTGCATTTCCTGTGTGTGGTGTTCTACTGATTAGAGAAGCCACACGCTTTGAAATGCGCTACTCAAATTTTCCTGCAGTGTTACAGCAGGTATCTGCTGTATATAACACGGAGTCATTTATGATAACTGGCATTTTCGAAACGATACCATTTTTTAGCTTATTTCCCATGAAGTAATGACGAGACGCCGTCACTACCTCCGATAGATAGCGCGACGCACAGATATACCCGAATCCTGGGGATGTTTGTTTTTTATGAAATATGATAGCAGTGGGCGATTGTTCGTTGTGGTGGTAAAGGTTTATGAGCGAATATTGAACGTGGTTTCCTGAAATTCATGGACTGCGTTATTGATTACGACAAGGAGACGTCACATTACCTCTTTGGCGTTCAGGGAGCTGGGCAGCTTGACTGATATTCGACTACCACACTTAACAGTTCCTTTTATGCTGTTGGCCGAGCAGTCTGGGAGTGGCAGCAGACTCATTAGCTTCTTCACAGGCTCTATGACGTTGCCAAGTATTCCAAGGCTCAGGTTGTCCAGGGTATCTAATATACCTCCCATTGCCTTGCAGACACCAAATGCAGCACTGGTGATTTTTCCTGCATTAAGAAGCAATGACAATGGGCCTAATGTAACAGTTACCAACATGTCTGGCTAGTACACTGTGCCGCTATAAAGGGCCTGCACCAAATGCCTACTCTGAAGCGGAAATTCTCGAAGTCACATAAGTCAACCTATACATGACAACATTGGCTGATTGAGAACACTGAAGTGTTCTAGCTCAAGGGAGACTGTATGTTGTTATGGTGAATAAATTTGGCTTTAAGAAAAAACCACTAGGCCTGCGTGGAACGCCCTGCACAGTCACAGCGAAAGCCGAACAGTGGCCTTTCTAGAGCCTTTTTTAAACTCACTATAGGAAACCACTACAAGTACACTTTCGTTGTACCCTTTACACCACAAATCATCAAATTGTTATGCGAAGTAAGGAACTGTGCGCTATTCCACTAGAATTCATCATTCATCGGAGCAGTGTAGTTCCCGTTACATCTGAAATTTACGCGCTGCTGCAACTGACGTGAATAAAGAATACTTGTGAGCCTTTTATATTCGTTGGAAGCACTAAATGACCCACTCGTTTTGCAATTCGCAAGCTGTAACCAATGGTTTTTTATTTACTCCTTTGAAGTGCTCTATTGCACATGCTAATGTGAGTTCTTTATCGACATGAAGCCTGAAGACGCTCACTTTCCAACAGAGTTTTAAGGGCAAAGGAGAATGTGGTAGAATAATGGGCTGCATTATATCTGCATTCTATATTTTTTTAATTCGTGCGTAAGTGGTTACGAGCACAGGCTGCGTTAGCAGAAAACTATAGCGCTAAAATCAGACCTTCTTGTGATCTCATAATATCTGCCCTTGAAGTATAATTAGTATTGATAATTGGTCCCAATATGATGGCTCAAGCTCCTAATCGATTGCCTTCCTGTGGTCACAAACCATGACTCCCAGAGGACTAAATGTTTTGCAGTTTTTACACACTTGGAATGAGCGGCATGCGACAGCTGTTGGCACTGGTGAGTCGCTTGCGACATTACGTCTGTTATATTGACGACTGGGAAATATTGGAAGCGGCTGGAGAAGAGTACTCAAAGCGAGTGCTATCGGTATGTTATGGCATAGAACCACAACATTTCGCTGATATGATGTTTATTTTATTTAAATAATGTACAATCTTGCAATTCGAATGCACCTGTGCTGTTTGTCCAGATATTGTAGCGTCACTAATAGTATAGAAGTGTTCATTTAGTTAATTACTTATTCAGTTATTTACCTAAATACTCTTATGGCGAATGGCATTGCAGAAAGGCGTAGGGGAGAAATACACGAAATCGGAAATTACTTAGAAGAGATCACAAGAAACTAGATATTAGTGTGCGAAAACCTGACAATTGGAGAGTCGCAATAATTCCTAAAAATATTTCAAAAGAAAATAAGTGGTCAACCAATGCTATTGGCACAAACATCAAACAGGCTACATGGAATTCATTAAACTTCAAAGAATTAAACGCGCTGTAATAACAAAGGGAGATTATAGCCTGGACAGCCTGTCAGGCCCACACGACGAGTAGGCGCTGGTCAACGAGGTCCGGCGTAGAGATTGCAGTCTCTCACGCTTCACTCAGGAGGTTTCGGTCTGCATTTATCGCTGCTGTCTGTGTGGCTGGGTAGCTGCTCCTTCAATGCAGTAAGATGTGAGCCAGGGTGTCTGTCACTTTACAGTTTGGGCATATGTAGTCGTATGACGTTGGTTTCATGTGATGCATGAGAACGCTATTCATATATGTATTATTTTGAAGGCGCCTGTAGCCTGTGCCTTCATCTCTTGAATGTTTGGGATGCTGGCGAGCGTAGATCCTGCGTTGTAGCCAATTGTGTCGCAGCAGTTCGTGGTAGATCAAAGGCACCCATTCACTTTCTTCTGTTGGTGTTCTGGTGTGGGAAGTGTCTTGAATTTTGTGTGGGAAGTTCAGTTTATGCATTTACGGGCCATGGCATGCGCCGCTTCATTCCCCTTGAGGCCCCCGTGACCGAGAAGCAAAATAATGCACATGCATGGAGGAGGAGTGTCGACGCCTTTCAGAGTTTTACCGCTCTCGTAAAGATTCCTCCTTTCAGATAGTTACGTGGTGCTGTTCAGAGTCGGTAAAGATCACTGTGGGATTCTTGAGCGTTTAGGTGGCCAGTACAATAGCGGGCTCTTCAGCTGTATCCGCGCGTTTGATGAGGATAGTCGCCGTCGCTAGGGCCGTCTCCTTGTGGTCTTTGACGCAAATCGCAAAGGCGCTCCTTCATGGATACTTAGCAGCGTCTA